CGTAAAAATACATCGTACTTCTGTGACAAAGTCAGAGCACTATGAACAATTAGATTGTCACAGATGTAGCTCAGGATTTCAAGCTGACAATATATAATAGCATCAATTCTATTTTGTAGAAATGTATCCTATATGCAAAAAATATTCATATTAAAATAGATTGTTAATAAATTAGTAAATTATAGTTATTAATAAATTATAGATATTTTTAATTGAATGAATTAGTGGCAATTGTTGCAGCAGGAGGATATACATCATATTGTGAAATAAACCAAGCTTCAGCTAATTGTTTCAAATACTTTTGTCTATACGTTTCGCAAGAGCGGCATGTGCTAACTGTGTATCTCTTTTACTGTATCTTTTATATCTATTGCTAAGGCAGAATATAACCGTGGCCAGAATGGTAACATTCCTTCCACAATCGATATTTCTGAATCTCTACATAGAATAGCAAATTCATGTAAGGCCTACAAAATATTAAGAAAGAAACTTTAGTTGGATTTAGTTTCAATATCATTTCTATAAATGAACAGAAGAGATAATTAGTTGTTACCTTATATTTGGTTATTGAACTCTTTTTAGTCATCTTTTTTAATATTATTCGAACATTACTATCAAGCCTATTCATTTCAACTTCGCTCATATCACAAAGTGGTAATACAGCTACATATCTCCCATTTCTCACAGTTGAAAAGTCAATTGAAGTATCCAGAAATTTTGCCCTTCTGATACTATTTGATGGCTAGTATAAATAATAATAATAATATTTAGAAACTTATAATAAAAGCTTGTAATTAAAAAGTTTTCATTGACAGATCATGTGTCAAATAACGCAAACAAATTTTGATAAAATTAAATAATCATTTAAAAAAAACATAACTTTATAAAATTGTTGTTACCCTGTAACTTTTTTATAAAACTATCATGATTATAATTTTAAATTAAGAAATGTTGTTATAACTAGACTGCAGATTTTTATGCAAATTCATAACTTTATAAATAAAATTTAGAAAAAAGAAACCAAAGAGAAAGTTGTTTTCTCTATTAATTATTATACAAAGTATTGGCACTTTATTTTATATTCTTATTTATTATATTATTATATTATTCTCTATTTATTATATTTTATATTCTTTTTATTTTATAATCTTACATACATTCTGTGTATTCTTCCATGTTCAAATTTCTTATAAATTCGCATAAAAATCCACAATCTAATTACAACAACTTTATAATTTAACTTATAAAGTTCTTATAAAAATTAGTTTATTAATATAAATTTTTACTTACCATTGCATTATTTTTGACTCGTTGCGCTTGTTTGTTCTTTTCCATGATGATTAACACAGTAGCAAGATACAGGAACTCGTACAAAATAATATTGACACTACGTACAAAAAAGACTGCGTATAAAAAATATTGACACTACACGTACAAGAAAGACTGATATTATATGTAAATTTCCAGCTTCGTACCGATGTTACCAGATGTAAAGTCGGAGAACAGAGACGGTAGGCCTTATACAGGCTACCAGGAACGTCATGGCTATGGCATGTATATGAAACCATTAAGAGGGCCAGCATTGTCAAATTACTGTAATAAAATAAAATTAGTGAAAAGTGAAATTCTATTATACATCGAAAAGAGTTCTACCCGTGAATTTAGGATGGATTTTTCTATTGAAATGTTTGTACTGATCTATTCATTAAGAGAAAATTTAATTTCGCTTGAAGGATCAATCTTCTAAGTAATAATTATACGTTTTTTCAACCCTCTTAGTATCTTCGAATTTTTCTACATGTCGTCCAAGACAATAAAGTTTTATCGTAGAAACAGAATGTAAAATAGTGTGTCAAAATCAGGGTAAACAGAACAGACATAGGGGAGAGTATTGGACGTAACTCTAACAAAGTTTTTCTACTATAACTCGGTCAATTCTTGATAAAACCCAAACTTTAAAAACAGAAATTTATAGTAAAAATAGCGCTTAATGAGAGAGTCTAAATCATTTTCCTCAAATTTTATTATAACGATTAATAATATGAATAAAATATAAATAATAAGAAAAAAGTCGTAATTCGATTATTAATAAATAATTTTAGATAGTGTTCAGTGTTCAGTTCTTAATGATGTCTTAATGAACTGTAATGCGAGTGTGTCTACACTCAGCATTCTCAGTGCATCCAGTGTTTTCACAGCACTCTTACGTTCATCAACTTACTCTCTTACTAATTCACTCTTACTTACTTGTTCTTACATTCCTTACTGATATAATTCATGTTCGTCAGATTATTCATCCAATTAAATCCTATTTTATAGGATAAATCCTATTTTATAGGATTTATTAAATCCTAAATTAAATCCTAACAAGTGAATTAAAATCCTATCAAACTAATCAAACTTTAACTTGAACCAGCTATCTTTCATTCACGTTGAAGGCAGCAAGCTACCGATCAACCATTACGTAAGTTCAGATTGGCACGCTACAGATAGTAATCGATTATTTATTAATAAAAATAGTAATTAATAAACATTAACATCGCAGACATTTAAATGGGACGAAACGTTTATTTATATGGTGTTTGTAATATTTATAACGTGTTTATAACAAAATAATCGATGCTTTTTTCCTTGCAAAATGAAAAGTTTCAGCGGCCTTGCCTTGTCATACTCTCTTTGCGCAGCATTTTCAAAATTTTACTAACTTACTTTAATAATGTTGAAAGAAACAATATATATTGCGAAATATATTGCTAAGAGCAATAGGATATCAATTTATCATTTCATCAGTAATCAGCGACAAAACTAGCAAAATTTTACCTAACAGTAAAAGCGATGAACTTCCCTTCCATACTGCATTATGCTATATTATACGACATACTGTTACACTATATTATACGACTCTACCACTATTGGAAAGATTTTGATGAGTCTCCTGAGAGATGATTCTCCTAAGAGACAGTAAGACGTTGATCGAAAAAGTGAATTGTTCAAATGCGTGAAGAATGTCTTTCTTATAAAGAGTAAATAAATGGTGCTAATGCAGGTTCAACTAAGTTAATTATAAGGAATAAGTCAAAGGGGCAGGGACTGACCTCGAGCAAATATCTGAGCGAATATACAAGATGTTCATAAAGTCTCTTTACGAAGGCAAAAGTGGAAATGAGACGTATATATTTAAGTTTTTTTTATGTCTCATTCAATACACCTCTATACGAGCACCATTAGTTGCACGAAGCACATCGAGATGATACTCGAGATTTACACGATCGATGTTTTTCTCAGATGTTCTTGGTCGTCCACTCCTCCCTTTATCGAACACTGTCCCTGTCTCCATAAATTTCTTGCCATGCACGAACTGATGGACGTGATGGTGGATCTCTTCCATACTTAGTTCTGAAGTTTTGCTGAATTTGCAAATCCCATTTGGTTTCAATAAACCATGATACATACTGTGCCTTCTCTTGAGGCCATTTTGTAGCCATTTTGTAAGGGGTTCATTTAACAGTTTCTTATTCATCAACAGGGTACCTAAAATGCAATGTGATAAAAAAACTTTGATAACTATTGAGTACATAGAGTAAATCTGATGAAGATATCTCATGAATTGCTTTTGTAATAAATTTTCGAAATTGCAAAGTGACTTCATGGACACGCTGTACATATAAGCGCAACGAAAAGAGTATACACAATATTTTTTCGTGTCAGGTAGTAATCGAATCGAAAATCTTGTTTTGCCCTAATAAAGTTCTGTGAAATTGTAATGTAATTAACAATTAGTGCTCTTTCTTTCGTGTGGATCTCAACTTCAAGAATTCGGATTCGGAGTTCATTATGTGTCATTCTATTACAAATTATTCCCGTCAGATTTAATTCAGATTTGGACTAATTGTTAGTTAACTAATTTATAACGTCACTTGCGCATTAATTTATAACGCAATTTTAGATATTTTTCAGGAAAAAATGGTATCATACGTGCCATGAAGGAAAATATTGAAGAAATATGCCATTTCATGTAATCCTAACATTTTCTCTGTCACTCGAAAAATATAGTTTGCATCATATAATGTGTTCGTTTGTATGATATTTTTAAAAACATTTCTTTGGTTGAGTTTGCAAGATATATAAACATATATGCCGTATATATGTTTATATTTTTCTTTAAATCTTTATGAAATGTTAAAGATTTATATTAAATAAATAACAAAGATTCGTTGTAATCATATTGATAGGCAAAGTAATTTATAGAAAAATTTTGAATAATATTTTAATTAACAAGTAATTTTTCATTAATGAATAATAGAATTTGTTATTTGTCGTAACCAACGCAATGTATAATTATAATAAAATTGTAGAAGAATTTAACATAAATTTGTAAGTAAATTAGGAAATATAATAATCTTAATATTTTAATATTAATAATAATTTAAAAATTAGTTGAAAATTTAATTAGTCAAAAATTGTGTTTAAGAATATTTTATAAAGTATACTTATCACTTAAAAGTATGTATTTAATAACTTTAGAATTTTAATTTACTATATAAAAAAAAAATAAACCATCGCAAATCTGTAAAATATGAATAAAGCTCTTTATGATATGTAGTAGAATGATTTCGGTTAGTTACAAACTTCATATTTCGATGTTGAAAATTTGAGAACGCTATAATGGATTTAAAAAATCATGTTTCTGGCGTGTTCACTAATTGATCAATTCCCGTTTACTTGATGTAGTACTGCAATTCATCATTATTCAAGCGTAGAGCGCTAAAAAATAGATTTTTTACTATGTCGATATTTCAGAGCATGAAATACAAAGTCCCACATATCTCATGCAATCTATTCATACACCTCATCTGTGTTACATTTCTTATAATTATATAAGTCTCACAAGATGCTTATTCATATACCTCGTCTGTGGTACATGTCTTATAATTGTATAACGTGTTATAGTATTTGAATATATAGCAAGAGTCGAATGTATATGTTTATAAAGAATGGAGTAGTTTATAATCATTTATTTACACATTATGATTTTCGTTTGTACATGATGTTAACAAAGTTTTATTTACACTAATAATGCAGTGTTTGTTACTTTATTAATAGTTGTAAAAACCGGTCTGTCCGCAGAATATTGTACAGTTTATCAGTATAAAATTTAGTTGTCAAGTTTGAATACGCGTGCAAAACTTGTTTGTAAAGACACGTATTTTATTGTATAATGTCTTCATACTTCAAATTATTTTATCACCGCGAGTTCTTCTTTCTTTTTTTTATTGTACAACTTCACAGTGTTTCACCCTCTTGAAATTATACGGGGTCACTCTCGGCAAGCTAATATTTGGTAATATTATGTATGCCAAAATTTTTAGTAAATTATGGGTAAATCGAGGACGAGAGCTTCGATGTAACCGCCCTCTTCCACTTCCTGCTAGGTATCTCCAGGAGCAGAGGATACAGTGTTGGCATTTGTTAACGTTGTCCATAAAGGACTGTGATCCACGGGTAATGGTACCACTGATTTCGATGGTCGTGGAGACCTATACAGAATGACAAATAATTTATTCAAATTAATATCGTTTTCATTGTAAATATTTATTACTTATTATATTATAAATAATAACTGTTCATGAAATTGTAATATTTGTTACAGTAATGATCAATGTCTGTCGTGTAATGCAATTTTAAGTATTAGGAAAGTTGGATGGATGGGGAAAGAGACAGACTATTGACAATGGTACACGATTCATACGAAAGTCTTTTTCATGTTCAATTTAAAGAAATAACAATGACAATATTACGACATATGTATATCACATACGGAGAATAAGAATCTGACCTAGGTGGTACCAAAACTGGATGCTAATCTGGGCTACTAAGTTCCAACGCAGTGCTTTGTTCAGGATCTGATCGTTCTTCAACTACCGTGTCTAGCTCCAACGATGGAAAAGCTCTAGATCCTCGATCGCTTCGCAATGATACTGCTCTTGGACGATCAATTCCAGCTAATACATAAATATACATAAATATTAATATTCTACGACAATAAGAACATTCGATTAGTATAGTCTACCAATTCTGTAAATGAAAGCGGATTTTAGATTATCAATAATCAAGATCAATGTTAACTAGATGCATGCCTAATGTTAAGATTAAATAGTTTAAATTGTCGATTTGAATTGCATAGTTATCCGAAAGTTTTTATATGCGAAATGCATTGAAAAAGCACTGTATAGGCTTGCATAACGAACAGTTTAAAATCATGCGATTGTAACTATGTTAAAAAATATGTACATGCCTTTGGATCAAGATTAAGATGTAGCCAAGCTGCGTATATATATTGTTTCGATAAAAATTCTCTACTTCACTTGTTTTCGAACTTTTCAATTATGTTACGAATCTTAAGCTGTTGAGATATAATATTCATAAAAATGTGGATGTTATTTAAACGTATTTAGATGCAATTCGCATATCTAGTCCTACATAAATTATTTTTATGATTTCATTTATCCCTGTTTTTTAATTCTTAATTCGGAATTTAATTCTGTATTGAATATGCAGCAGTAATAGCGGCGGCGGCGGCAAACAATTATGCATTAATTAAAAGAAACTATGACTGCTCTGTGAAATTCTAAAATCTCTAGACTCAAGCAACGATCAGGTTGATAAAAGGCTTTACCTAAATCCTCTTTCGATGCTGCACTTGACGAGATAATAAAATAATGTATATGTATTTATAGTTCGAAGAAGTTTTGAAAAAGTTAGTTTATACTGAGGCAAATTAATTTTTCGATGCGTAACAAAACTCAATAAGTAAATGTTTTTTTCTGTAACCTTGTCCGAAAGCTGAATATTCCCTATTAATTAAAATCAGCATGCTACATTTAGTTGACCAAAAGGTAATGTCGTATTTTTGTTTTAATTTATTTTAATGGTTATCTTCCTACTATATATGCAAAAAGCTTTATTAAAAACTGTATCAATTTTCTTCATCTACAGCATTTTCATAGTTGCAAGGTTCCATTTTTTGTTGGAATTTATTATCTTCTTTTTGTAAGAGATTTAAAGCTTCCATATAATTAAAGTTACTATTATTAAGTGAATTTTAATGCATTTTAATTCTCTCCGCTATATTCTCTGCACTATGTTACTGTAAATTATTTATTAATAAATTATTTCTTTATTTTGCACCGATTGTTTGCTTTAAAAATATTTTTATTTTTGTAACCTTTTCGAACTACGTGACATTGAAATATTATCTGACAATCACTTTATAATGAACGATTTTCAATAATAAATTTCCAATGTTTCAGTAATTTAATTTATAATCTTATAATATAGATAAATTAAATTTGACTAACTAAGCTTGAATTAAACTTCATATTTTGTCATTAATAATTTCCACATGCATTACAAAATATTTATCATTTATAAAATATCTCTATCATGAAGGTCTTCCATCCATCTTTGTTGTAGGTTTGCTTTCTATAATCAACAAACCTTTTTTTGATGTTTCAACGTTTTTTCCTTCTCGAAAGTATGTAATAAAACATAACTACTTGAAAATGCAACTTTCGACTTTCATTTTCAGAAGGAGAATATTACAGAGAGCATTGTACTTTGATGATATTTTATTTATGTTAAGATGTATTTTTATTTCGAGTTCTTTTTCTGCAAAGATATTTTTATATTATACGGTAGATAGTAAAGTAAGGATACTTCTGTTATTGAAAACTGTAAAAATTTAAACTCCACCAAAACTTTACTGAAAAGTTTTTTTCATAACTAGATCTATCATAATTTCGAAGATTGAGATTTCTCTTTTGCATCAACATAATTTGAAACTTGAACGATTTTTTTCGCCATTTTATTGAACATTATTGAACATCAGAATTAAACGACAAAAATTCAAGGAATCCTAATCCTATTTTGCTGTTGGTGTTCAAAGTTTAATAAAATGGCGAAAAAAAAGAATATAAAAAATCATACAGAAAATTTTAAGAAATTGTTGTAAAGAACAACTTTGAGACCACGGTACATTCATTTAAAATTTTTAATAATGTTCTTAGAGGAACTGAATTTTTACCATTTTCGAAAATAAGTATCCTTGCTTTCCTACTTGATACGTGATATAAAAACATTTTCGAAAAACACTGACGTGAATTTGTTAAAAGAGAGACTTCTCATTTTAATTTCGATAATTGAAGTGTTATATAATCTTTTTTTATAAAATTATAACAGTTTGAAATACAGACAATATTTTATGAAATATACCAAATGACCAACTCTAAGATTCTATAGAAATCATTGACACATTCCAGTAAGAATGTAACCATACCAATATCAATATATCAATATTCATTTTTAAAAAAAGCTCGTCATATTTCTTAGTTGTTGATTTGGGCTGGATAAGCCCAAACTTAGTAACACTCCTGCTGAATTAAATTAAAAGCTGAGTTCTGTCCTTTCTATTTGTTTACAAATTGAAATGTGAGATATAAAAATGTCGTAGACGGCCAGCAATCAATATTAAGGCATGTGCCATCGCGGATTTATATTTATATATCTCGCCTGTGTTTATAGGCAGAATTTATATCTAATGGTACTGGCAATTTTTCGTAAATATTTCGAAAATTAAGGCTGTGGAGCAATAACGTGTAAGAGGGAAAAGTTGTTTAGAATTCAACAACGTCAATATATTTCAACCTCATTGAAATAAGTGAGAATTAGCCCTTTTTAGATAATTATCTTATTTTTTCAAATTATGAGTATTTTGTTGCATTTTAAAATGTCCCATAAATAAAAATTTACAGCAATGATCTGGATGTTGAAGAATTAACGAAGAGAACGTGTTAATACTTGTGAATTAAAAAATTACAATTAACGTTCATTGACGAGAAACGAAATCACCATTTACTACAGAAGTTCGACATTATTTTTTGATCAACTCAGTGGTAACTAAACCGCCTATTTATTTTAAACATTGTAAATCAAGAGTGAAAGTATTGTGATTGGTCGCAGTAGTCGTGTATCTTCCGATTCAGTCTTATATCATAGTTATCAAGTTTTCTATATACATTTCGTCGATACTCAAAAAAAAAACAAAAACAAAAACAAAAAAAAAAATCATGTTCATATTGTAACGTAATGTGATCAGTAAACATTTTAGCATTAAAATTTATATGGAATAAACAATTAAAAGAAACCAATTTGAGAAAACCAATAAAAGCTTATGATTCAACAGTTTCTCGATACTTTGTTAGATATGACGTTTTCATTGGAAAAAGTAGCCGCGTGAACATGGACACGACATCTGCGTTTGAAATATTCTGAAATCAATGTATGAACTCGAATATTCAGGCCAGCATTCAATCTGGTTTAATACCTCTTCCGTTCTCTTTATATACGTAGTACATCCATGTGTTTGAATACGTATACATATATACACTCCATTTATAAAGGTATGCGACTATACACGCCTATGTGATTGTATGTAAGTGTATATTTGAATATACAGGTACGTATACGTATGTATTCAATGATTTTGGGTAGAAAAGCGGCCATAGGGGTATAGCGGCTGTTAAACAGATTGCAGGTGCTAAAATACAAATGTTTTGTGACCTCAATCCGTTTTTTGTTACAAAGTTTGTATAGAGGAACATTGCTTTCAAGTATATACTTAAAACAAGGGGTGGACAGGTTCACTTTTTACCCAAGTGAAACTTACCTAAACGATGGACAGGGCTAAAACGAACGAGACTGAGAGCCCCGTGATCTAGATCGCAATTTCTTCTTCGAGCTCGTTCTCTCGCGAGTTTTGCTCTTCTTCTTAAACAACAGATAACCATTAGAGCCAGCAATGGAAATCCAAGTATGCATGATACTATTGGAATGATGATACTCTCTGGAGTTACTAAAAAACAACAAAGTAATTTTTAATTTAATTGCGAAGATTTTTTTCATCAGAACGTTTCTGAAATTTTATAAATGAATTCTAACTCGTACATCAATCGAGTTAATGCATTAATGTGTATTCAATGTTACTAACAGAATTGCCTTCTCCCGATTCTATAATTTCCATTTGCCAAGGAAAATTGAGCAAATCGAGGATGAGAGATGCAATTTATCACTTCGCAAACTCAAGAAGTTTTTGAGCTAAACAGTTAAACAGCGTTAAATTTTCAAAGAAATATGGAAGCAAACATTGGATTTCTGTTATTCATATAACTTTCTAACAAATGTAGTATAATGTAGGTGCAATACTGAAGAGAGTTGACAACAAATGAATCTTTTAATAAAAATTGAAAGAAATGCCATCAATCTTCTAAACGATAATTTAACTTCCAAGAAAAGAAAAGTGTTTCGTTTAACGTGGTAAGAAACGAGAGACGTAACATAAATAAACTATGGACTTTTATGCGAGTTTATCTTTTTTTATAAATAAAATCTAGAAAAGGGAATCTAAAGAGAAAATTGTTTTCTCTGTTAATTATTATGTAGAACATTGCATTTTGGATATTTTATATTCAAATATCTTGTGCACTTTTGCATTTAAATTTTTTATATAATGCATAAATATCTACGGTCCAATATATGGTAGCGAAAATATATTTTGAATAATACAACTTGCAAATATGCTTTTATTAAAATCAAAATTAATTTCGTACTATGACATCGTTCTAAATTTAAAATTACAACGTCGAAATATCATTTTTTATTTACAAATGTCACTTTTCCATTTAGACGTCTAGACGTTTTGTAATTTTATTAAGCTTCCACTCTCCGTTCTCTCTTAGATCCTTGAGATTGGGAAGTAATCACTTGCTTGGTTACTTCCTTAAGCACAACGAAGATTCGTTCTGTCGCAGCAGGATTTTAACGAAATACTTAATCCTTTCATAATATTTTTAAGTTTAGAAATAGGTTGGATTCTGGATCAGGAGGATAATCTGATCATTCCATTGATTTCCTTTTATAAAATTAAATTTCTTCATTTATCCGATTGTATTATATTTAAGTAAATAATAATCTCATTGGTTCTGTAAAATTCAATGTTGTTATTCAAGCATCGTTTGAAATGATTGAATGAATATAACGACGTATTACATAGAATTGTATTCACCATGCGCACCATTTTTGAACAGATGAAAACAATGCTTTATCGCAATATTTCACTGCAGTTTGTTATATTTTATTTTACAAAACATTGTATTGACATCTCACCTGTCGGATAAACTAAAATTGTTGGTCTCTTGGATTGTGAAATTGTTGGCATTGTTGGTCGACCCGCTCTCACTTCGACCGACATTTTGCTCCCGATCTGAAACAAAACCAGTTCTTCGAAATTGCTTTAATACGTTAATCAAGGATCTGGTATTACGAAAAAAATTCGTCGATAATTCCGATTCCATTTCTCTCATAAAAATCGTTCATTGTTCAAGACTCATTGTTTCTCGTGTTCTGTTAAAATGAAAAGTCAAAGGAGTCTCTACTATTTCGCGGTTCTTTAATTTCTTCTTTGTTCTTCATACTTTCTCCAATATCGAGAAGACGATCAAAAGCATCAAATTTCATCGGTTCCTTTTGAAATTTTCTCCATTGATAATTATACACCTTCCATTGTCCATTTCTTTTTTTTTTTTTGCAGTACAGAAATGTGTTCTTTGATTTCAAATTAGACCGGAACTCGATGTAAGCATTCATCGTACATATTAATTGTACGGAGATCTTAAGAATATACAGGGAAGTTCAGCTAAATGGGATTGCCTAAATATCTGCCTTATTTACTGTTGCATAGAACAATTTTTCGGGGTAAAGTTACACTATCTTAAAGGCTACATTGAACGATGGCAATAAATTTTTTGGAACTCACTTTTTTATGAATAATTTTTCAAATGAAACTGTGTATTTTTTTCGATATTTCTACAGAAAATTTGACTACTCCAATGAACATACTATTGAGACTTAATCTCAAGATATTTGTATTAGAAGGTAACTATAATTTTCTAAGTTTAATTGTAATTTATACATTTATATCCGAATATTACTGAATTATTAATATCGGAATTTGTTGAAATTATTGATTGGTTAATGTTTTTTCAGTTCTACTCGAAGTATATGTTCGTAAGAAGTAATTCGAAGTTATATTTAGAAAATTATAATTACTTTCAAACGTGAATATCTCGAGAATAAATAGCCTGAATAGTATCCCAGTTCATTGGGAACGTTAAATTTGTCTTTTTTATGTTCTATAAGAATATTTGAAAAAAATATAAAAATTAAAAAATTATTGATAATCTTCAAATCTCAAAAAAATGACCTTGAGGAAAATTTATTTCCTCTTTGCAATATAGCCCTTAAAATAGTGCAACTTTGTCCTGAGAAATTTCTTCATACATCAATAAATAAGGCAGATATTTAGCAGATATAAATGTATGAAAATTATTTCATTTTATTAAAATCGATACGATTTATAAATATTGAATAAATACCTCTCCGTGACAGCGTGAGATGTATATTCGTTGTAAAAATATAAAAAGAAATCACGAGCTGCGCAGGATTAATTTAAATGCGACAGCAAACAATGCGTAATATCTCCCTCTATATATTCTGTTAAAATAATAATTTTTATGTGATTTAAATTTTGCGTTCACGCGTTAATAGTTGTCATTTCTGCCAATGCGTGGCGCACATGCAGTTAGTATACGAAGGTTTACTCCTTTAAATATATCACGAAATTTAACAAGAAATTATAACAAAAACTATTTATTTTAATTAATGTATAACAAGATTTTTATAACGACCGTTTGCCTTGATTGATTATTAATAAATTTTCCGCTATCTTATTTTCTTTTTTCTCCATTTTAAATCAGTGTCGCCGCTGTTAAACTCGTTTTTAACCTCTTGCGCTGGAATAACGTGCCGCGAACGTTGAGAACTTTTTGTCGCAAATTGCAACATTTTTCTCAGTTTTAAGTGTATTTAAATGTAACCTAGGCAAAACAAATAATAAATTTATTACTTCTTAATAATTTTTATCCAGTGATATCATACCGACGAGTGCAAAAGAAAAAGAAAGCGACGAATTGTTGTATACGGTTCAGTCACTCGTTATGGTCCGCAATCAGTTGCCAGCGCAAGTAAATACGTGCGCCGCCACAAGTAATCAAAGTGATAAATGTGAACGCGACGTGTATGAATTTAATAAATTTATCTTGATTAAAGGTGATAAAAATATCTGTCATAAAAATTTGAAGCGTTTGGATAATAGCATTATGATGGGAAACGTTCTCAATTCGCGTTGATCGATATAACAAGTGTTCTATTTTTTTCTTAATGGAAGATTAAAAAAATGGAAGACCAAAAATCGGTATGTAATCAAATTTTTGAAGTACAAAAATCTTCACTATTGATATGCAAGTTGACGTGGTAGATGTTCACGTTCTCGAAAGTTGAAAATAGATTGCAAATGACAGTTTTATATATATATATATAAATATGTAAAACTTGTCTTTGTAGTAGGAAAGAGCTATTTACTTGGATTCCCTCATCTCTTTGTGAAATTCCTTCCACCGTTCCTTCGTCACTTCGTACTCGGAAAAGCAATAATGCTAGCCGTATTGGTGTGAATACCGACATAGGCAAGAAGTTCTTTCTTTGTGTACAAGCTTTTAAAGTTTCTCCGTTTTTAAATTCCCTATACTACGAAAGACTTAATTCCTATTGGCTTCGAGCCGCAAAGAACCTTTTTGGCCTCAGACTTTCAACTCGAAACGCATACATACATTAAGAAGGGTGAGAAAGGAATTAATTTATACCATTCCATTCCTCGTACTTCTCACTTCTTATGAAGAATTTCTGAATTTCCTGCTTTCCATTAGAGTTTGGGCGTTGTTCAAAAGATTTCAAAAGATTTCAAATGAACTTTTATCTAAAATAATTATTCGAACATATGTTCTTTAATCGAATATTTTATCCGTATAATTATTTATGATCATTTATTCTTTCTACTTATTCAAATACTTTATTCCAATGACGATTGCAAAATTTTTCCAATAACAATGCACATAATTATTATTTTTGTTTTAAATTTTGTATGTGTTTTCATATGGATACGTTCAGTATAATTGCGTACACGCTTCAACGTTCAATGTTAGAAAAGGTCAACGTGAAAAGAATTGCACAACAAAGCGTGATAATATATTTCATATTCATATAAATATCTTCCTTTATGTATGATATATGATAATTAGATACAATAAAAAGATCCCTCGAATAAATCTTTATCTGAATACATTATACGAGTAAGTACTCATTCCAAAAAATATACTTATTCGACATTTATTTAACACTAGAACTACCGAGAACTAAAGCATAGAATTTTCATTAGGGATATTAAAGTGAAAAAAATAGGAATACAATAGAACACGCGAACTTTTATTCACGTATTTTATAAAAAAAATCATTTGAATCTCTAAAAATACATTATTTTGCATCTATAATGTATCCGAAAATAATTATGAATCAGTCATTTTGACCACTTCGGTAGTGCTAGTATTAATAGTAATGCTATAGATTTCAAATTAATCAAATATACTTATTTTTATGCATCAACTTCGACTTTCTAAAAATATATGTTACGAATGTTTATTTTTATTTTTATCCTATTCTATGAATATGCATATGAAAACAACCGTGATTAATAAATTCATTGTAATGATACTATCGAGCCTCATTGGAGTTTGATTTTCCTTCTATGGCGTTGGATGTAGTAACTCATTAGCCACTCAAAGCAACAAAGCTTGTTATTTTTAAACCGCATCAGACACAGTCTCTTTTTGCTTTTAGCTTTTGTTTATTCCTTGTCGTATCCAGCTTGCCGAATATTGCTTCCATAAATTTTCCTGCGTGTATGAATTTGGTTTTCTGGGGAAAAAGAGCCAGTTCTGAAATAACAAATAATTCTCTACGTTTGAGGTCAGCCTGCATGTGAATTTATCGAAAAATTCAGCATCGTGAATGCTTAAGCTTTCGTCTGGCCTGTTCGGTACGATTACGTTTCCTTATTTACATCAGCTAAATGGGTTACGATGTTTATAAAAAGCGCCGAGGAAACACCGTTTTCAGCTAAACGTACAATTTCTTGAGTTGGGCAGGCATTCTCGCAAGAAATTCTTGGAATCTGTCCAGGAAAAGAATCGCGAAGCTTCTTCCCGTTCTTCGTTATCTTTAGACTTCCTTTGCAAGACGTTTCGCGGCACACGAAATTTATCCGATGTAGTTTAGAAATTCCAAATCGTGTCCAGTCGGATTCAGGGTTTCGCGATGCCTTTGCCATGGAAAGTAGGTCGTTCAATTTTTAGCGAGGTCCCGCTCCAACTGATGATATCTTCATAAAAAAGCAAATGGGACTGTTTCGTAATCTATTATAACTATTCAACTCGCGGTTCTTGGAATTTTCGAGCGACTAGTTTAAAATTCAGTGACTCATTGATCTTCCCGCGCGCACATTAAATTTTGTTCTTTTCTCCGAAAATTCGTTTTCTGAACGAACGCCATCTTCTTGCAAAAAAAAAGCAGTGTTCAATCATTACAGCTAGACGAAAAGATTTGCATTCTCCATCTTGTCGTATCAACCGCAATATGCTGTCTCTTTCCCGATTATTTACTAACCTAGTTCGTCGCACGGTGAATTCAGAAAACCTGGTCCACGGAGGAAACGTAGGTTCGAATTGTGTTTCATTAAATTATTATTATGTTCTGGGGTACATATTATCGCATTATAACCGTGTTATTATATACATGTACGATTTTCCCGTATACCGACTCGTTACAAACGGAGTAAGTTGTTTTAATCATAAACTGGCAAATGCCCACTCCAATCGCGCTCAAAACTACGTTTTAATCCAATTCGTGCAACAACGTGGTGCTATTTGGTCGGTAACACGCAAACGAAATAACGACAGCCTTCAGTAAATTTCCAAACGCAACACACATGTACATGTGTACATATATGCTGCACACCGTTGTGCCGATTTTCTCTGGGCCGTGTAACGAGGCTTGATAAATAATTCCAGATAATTCAACTACTGTTGTTGGCCAAAGGATTATACTGATCTATCGTAATTCACGGAATGTTACGTAAAAGCTGATACGTTCATTGGTAGATCGCCGATATTAAAAGACCTCGTGCGGCCGTTAATGATTCGCGGTAAGCTCGAGATCGGGAACCGAGGATTACGCCAGTTGCCTCGAGTTGTATTCGAACTGCGCGCACACCGGTACTGTTTTCCAGAAAATTTGTGCGAGCTCTCGCGTATC